AAGAGGGGTTTTCCACAAAAAGGTCTCCGCGCCAATCTATCTAAAGCATTCGGATCAGAGGGCAAAAATTCGAGGCGATCTTTAGGCTCAACCTTTTTCGATTTGGGTTGACTAATTTTAACACTCATTATAACTGGACAAATAAGAAACTATTAGAAATCTGAATAAATTGAATATTCATCTCCAGCCCAGAAAACTGGAGAGTTTCGCAGAACTCAAGTGGACTGTTTTTCATTTCTAACAAGTTTGTTTCGACATCGGAGAAAGTCTTGATCCCAAGGCGCGATATTTTAAGAGAACTGTCGATTTCAGAAGAACAAGCCGTACGAAGACGTCTAATCGATCGATGTCTGGTTATGGCGATAGCGTTGGCGATAAGCTAATAGAGGAACGTCTTCGCCTTGGGAACCATACGAACCACCATTGCGACGCCACAGCTGTAGCCTCCAACCTTCATCAGTTTCCACACCGCTGCAATTGACGAGATGGCGTCCAGAATCGGAAATGATCAGATTCACTGGAAAGCAGAAGCTACTCGGTGGGAATTCTGACATTTTCCGTGTTGCGTGGGAACATAGCGTAGTTTCGATGTATCGTTGATGAGTCAGGCACTTCGTGTTATGGTTCAGTGCGTAGAGTGATTCAGCTCTGATCATTCAATGCCACTCTTTTTGAGGTCGGCGGCAGATGTCGTCGCCGAGCTTGAATCTCTTTCACGGAACTGCAACCGGTGTCATCAGCCATTTCGTGAAGATGAATTGTATGTAGCTCTCGAGGGAACATCTTGGCATCAAGAATGCTTCCGGTAGGTGACGTTTACAAATTCTAAGCCTCTGAAGGATCTCAAATGTGATGTTCTGCTCAAAGTTCAACCCTTCAGATGCGCTCAATGTCTTCTATCGCTGGATTTGAATGAAGACTTTTTCGAAGTGGATGGGCGGTTTTATTGCAAACACGATTTCGAGGTGCTCTACTCTCCAATATGCACAAAATGTAGTAAGTCTTCCTCACCTCGAATTCAGATAAAAGCAGCTCGAAATTCCAGTTGGTGGAGTACCGCTACTAAAGGCCAGTTGGGTGCTGAACAATCTATACGACAGGAAAGGTGCATAAGAAATTTCCAGAAGCGGGCCTTTCCAAATTTTATTAACTTGCGCACTGTGCGAGTTTGGGGATAAGTGAAATTGGGCAAGAGAGAAAGTCGAGATCGATCAAATGAAAGAGCAGAGAGACTAGCGAGACGCAGACACCAACGCCAGCCAACTATACTCATTTTTTAGATGGATCCCAGCTCAATGGTCCTTTTTCAAAGGAAAAGCGCAGGGTTATGATGAATTTTGTAGTGATGAATCATTTTCTAGGATGAGCCACGGAATTCTAGTCTCGTTTAGAATCGTCGTTTTCATTACCAGCCAACACTGAGGTTGTGACGGTGTAAAGAGTGAGGTGAATGTGACATCAATCCTACATCGCTTTGGGCGGGTTATTCCTCCAGTCTGAGTATTACTACGAAATAACCGACCAAGTTTGGTGGATGGTTTTGTTGACCTGGGACCTACTCTATTCGAGATTAGGCTATTGAAAAGTGAGCAATACCACTTGCCACTACAACACCTATGCCTACTACATAGAAATTACTAAAAGTAGATAATATAATACTACTTACTATCCGTTCAGACTCGTTCATCGTTGGCAAAGTAATGAAATCAGCAAGCTACTCGTTCCATCCAGATTGCTTCAGATGTGCAAGTTGTGACGGTAGTTTGGACGACGGCACCTGGTGCGTGGATGGAAGGTCACTTTACTTCCGCTTCTGATTTGCTTATATGATTTTTGCTGCACAAGAATCCCGAGATTTTGAAACCCCCAGAGAAAACAGGATATTTTTTTTACAGAATGGTTTGCTAACTGTAAACGAAATCGCCCAAAAATAAGTGCACGGTTACCATCTGCATAGAAGTGTCAGTTACCCTTTTGTCCAGAGACTTTGTTTGTATCTCTCCAGGTTTGCTCAAAATCTCCAACGATGAGGTGGGACAGGCTGCTCTTAAGAATCTCTAGTAACTAAGAAAAAGGTCATGGATGAGGAGAACTAGCAGGAGATAGAAAGAATGTATTTTCTCTCTATAATTTGTCTCCCAAATGAGTAACCACGACAAGCTTGAAGGTGGAAGGCATGGAAACCCTTTCAAGTGCACGGGCACGTGTATCCCCTAAGGGTGTGGACCGGTACGCAGTTCGCAGCGGAGGTGCCCCGGCGATCTAGCATGGCCGTACCCGCGCCGCTATTGACGCGGCACTATCCCGCCAACAGGACCGTTCGTCGCAGGTCTCCGGTGCTTATCAGAAAGAGAGTCAGTTTCAAAGAGGGCAGTCTAACCGATCATGCCGCATTCTGCGGACAATTAAACGCGCGCACAGGGAAGGGTTCCTTTCTCGGTTCTGGCACGCCAATCTCATCGGTTTTCTCTTCATATTCGTGCACTACAGAGCACCTACACTTGATTCTCATGGTCTACCTCCTAATTGTAAACTCTGCCTTCAAAGTTACGAACTTCTAACGATATCATACCTACGCCGTTTGTTTGATTTTTTGTGTGTTGCACGGGTTTTGGAACTACTGGCGTAAGAGGGAGGGACATATTTGCGCGCTTGTTCAGTTGTCATATTTACACACCAATATTGTCAAATTGAATATTGTCGCCAAAGGCATGGCATATAAAGAATGCGTCAGCATGGAAAGCATACGCCTTGGGACAGCCAGGTATCAGGCGACTTCGAAAGAATCAGGTTGAAGGGCTCGATTTTGGAAAATAGAGACGAAACGATCGGTAGAATAGGATGCAGTAGAAGTGTGAAATGTTAGGTGCAATGGGTCGTAACTATAAATCGCCCCATGGAGTTGAGAGGCGGAAAATCCTTTTTAAAATTTTCATCTGTTCTTCCCAATACAGGGATACCCTGATAAAGGGACGCATATTTAAATGTATGTGTGTAGGTAAAAGTGAACATGCACTGAAAATGAGGAAACTACATCGTTCAAAACAAATAAATTCAAACGAATCCTTGGATCACCTAGCTTCGGGGAAGGATAGTATACGGCCCAAAAACGAAAAGTTTTAGGAAAACAATTCGGTGCTAACTTAGTTGGGCGGCGCGGCAGTCTGCTCACCTGGGCTCTCTCGAGCGAGACAGTGTAAACTCGAACATTCCAGCTTTTCACGCATGTCAAGTGACTGCCCCCACCCCCACCCCCTAGGCTGGCTACACTCCCCCTGGCCCACGGATTTCCGAACATGCCAGACGAGCAAGTCTCCCGACAATGTCAGGTCGGCGCCGCAGCGCGGCGGCCACGCCCCCTCGCGCGCGCGGCCGATTGGCTAAGGGCGCGGCGAGTTTGACATACTCTCATCCGTCCACGTTTTTTCTCCTTTACCTTTTCATATCCTATATCCTCTTCGTTTGCCGTTAACTTCATGTTTCTTGAAGCGTCACTTTGATGAATGTTCCAGAATGAAGAATGGCGCTATTGTAAGATATGGAACATCCTCTTGACTAGGCCAGAAGGGCGGAAACTTCCGGGAGAACGAAAATTGCTCAGGAATTCAGAAGTTTCTCCTCCCGCATAAGGTTTTAACCGTCATATCGTTATCTAGAAACAAAAAGCTTTCAAATGTGTTCTCTTCTATTCGGGGAAGGAGACATTCCTGTCAAAAACCTGTGCATTTCACCCTCTTCCACATTTTCGAAAGAAAGGGCACATACATAAGTGTTAAACAATCACATAAACACGTTACTTGCCTTGTTGTGTTTGCTTTTACAATCAATAATAAATATAATAATAATCATATGTACCTGGTACCGTAATAACTTCGGATACGCATATATAATACAGGATTTGAGATATCAATGTTTTGTAGCAGGATAGTTGTGATAACACTCTTAGGGCTATATAAACACCTGCTTAGCACACTTCCGTTCATTCCACATGGTGCTGCAGTGGCAGCTGGAGGGCAGTGGAGAGAGGAAGGGAGGATGAGGAAGGGAAGCGAAAAATCTACCGTCATATCATGATTGTGTCCCTTCTACTGTATGAAACACCATTGTGTTGCATACGCGTCACTTCCAGGAGGTGTTGGTGTCACAGGAGGAAGGGACCATAGCGGAGGATAGAAAGCTTGCGCAGGAAAGGAAGGTCCCGGCGGTTGACGGGGGACTAATCTGGTAATAATAATAAATAGCATCCATTATACGCGTCAATACGTCGATTTTATCCTAAAGTTTTGGCAAAATGCCAGCTGGCCGTTGCAGGCGGGCTGCTCGACTGCCACATCGCTGTTTGCCGCGGCCATTGACCCAACGGTCGCCGCGCGCGGCGAGCCGACCTGACACAATCGGGAGACCTGATATACAACCCCAGGGGTGAGCAAGACTGCCGCGCCGTCCGCGTGGGCCCCAACTAAGTTAGCACCAAGTTTCTAGTGGACAGCGCTCCGTGAACCAACGTGAAGCGCTCCTCCTTCCAGCTTTGTGAGCAAGATGACGCGACGGGAATTGAAACGCGTAGCAGAGTCCTTGCGACCAGGGTGAATAACGGTCGAGGAAATCCTCGACCATAGCTCTCTACCATGCGAGAGTAGTGCCGAGAGTGAACATCCGCGCGGAGAGCACAGACGGCACGCATGGCGAGTGTGAATGTCCGCGCGAGAGATCGTGTCTGATCGGGCAGAGAATCCTCGACGTGCCGTTGAGGAATCCTCAAGCGATATTCACCCTGCTTCCGACCATTCGAATAGTTTACCAAAACAAATGCAATTTTTGTTTTAATCGTTCTTATCGTGACGATCACGTCTGAAGTCAGTCACTTATGGTAGGCATTGTTCATAGTTTTGGAACCATCGGAATATTCGAATCTGCGAAAAGAAAAAGATACGTATCGACCAGGTGAATCCGCGCACGCGCGAACGCGGATGCGAAAAGGTTTAGATACGTATCGACGTAGTAAACCACGCCCTATTAGCGTTGCTAGAGGATTTTCGCACCGCCGTTTCGATGCTGCGATCTCCGATTGACTGATCGATAGACACTAATTCCTTTCAAGAGGATTCGCAGATTCCAATGCGCGATTCGAAGCCCCTCCCATTT